CCATCGCCTTTGAATTAACTTTGAAACGGGTGAAACAGTAAGGATACAACCAACCACAGAGCCAGTCGTACTATGTGAACATTCATGGACATTGTGCTGTTAAATCTGTTAAATTAGAGAATGTGTAAAACTGGAGGATTGCTTGAATCCTTCAACCATGTCTTACAACTGCACTTTGTAACTGAAAAAGCTTTAAAAGATAAAAACTAGATTACCCAGCATAAGTGATATTCTTGTTCATTTAACAATTCCTAAGGAACTTTTTACATACTATGCAAGATTTAAAGAAAAAACCCTTTACCGTGTATATTGAGATTTTTACCCTATTTGTTTTAATATTTTATTTTATTTAACATAGTGGAAAGCTACAAGAAATCTTCGGTCCCAACACAACACAATTAACAGAAGACAGACAACAATTTCATTCTTCGGTATAGCAATATTATAGATTCGGTTACTTGCTAAACACCATTTGACTGATGCACTTTTATTTACATAATCACACTGTTTAGAAAATGGGTCAGATGTTGCCTCAAGCCTGTGCAGTTAATTTCAAATCCGCCTTTATTATTGAACTCCTTGGTCCTCCTTCACTGGCTTTCACGTTGATAACTAAACGGCTGAAATTCCTCTCCCACGATTCTATGTCAGTGGAACTCACATCAGTTGTAACTTATTAACTAGCTTTAAAGCTAAATATTGAAATAAAAATCAAAGACCAACATGGATTGTCTTCCGCTCGAGTCTGTCTGTGACATGGCCTTGCCCCCGGTTACACCCCTGCACACAGTTGCCTTGTTGAGATATTTATGTGAGGATCTTAAACAATCTTCACGTTCGTCGATCAAACCTGCTCTCTCTGTATGATGAAACTAGGACTATTGCAGTTTTTGTCTTTCGTTTTCTGACATGTGACAGATCATATAGTAGCTCGGAGGCATACATTTCTTTAACTTTGCTGTTTCTCCCTGGGGGATGTGATTTAAACTGCTGTATATACATGCATTGTTTGAGCAAGGACATCCGTTTCTATAAAAGGCAATATTCTGAATGTCTTTGATGGCTTAGGCAGTAAATCCTCCTCGAACCTCTCTCAATAGGTTTTCAACACGGCTGACCTTGAGAACCCCCCAAGCCTTGCTCTTTTGGAGATGTTCTGATCCAGGCAGTTGGCCATGATGATGTGGCTCTTGTCAGGGTCACTCAGGTCATTACCCCTGGCCATTTCTTCTGCATTCAACATGTCCACTACGGGTTCAGAATGTTGGCTGATTTCCTGTTATATCTCAGACTTTGACATGTGCCATTTTTTATGACATAGTCTATGTTATTCACTTCATGCGGTGGTGGTCATAATGTTTTGATTCCACGGTGTACATATTATGTGATGAAGAGTACACATCCAAATTTGTGCCATTGCACATCTAGATCTGTGCCATTGCACATCCTGATGTTACACATCTAAAATTTCATTCAGAATAATAAGTTAGCTGTAAAAGTGAATCTATAAGAAAGCCATCAGATATAGTGCACCCAGAATCGGCAGATATTTCAGGATGGTGTCTGAATTTTCTTGCATTTCTCAGTGCTATAATATGTCCAGAGATCCAGTCTCATGAGCAAAGATTTTGCAAAGAAACATAAAAGTGCTATGCTGTCTGGTTTGCTAGAAAGAAACTTTGATGGATCCACCTTCTCCTCAACCTGACTCTGAATTTGCATGAATCTTAGAGATTTGTAGAGGCTCACAATGCTTTGAAAAGGACATTGAGTGTTTGTAGATGAAAATAACGAGACATTCTCCCTTAAAGACAAAAGACGTGTTTGTGTTAATGGTGTTACGCAGGAGCACAATCGCCATCGCTATAGTCTGATAAAAGATAAAAGAAGAAAAGCAAATAATTCTGGACTGACAAACGCATGAAGGCCAAGAATTAAGATTTATTTAAAGATAGGTGAGGTGCATAAGAATCCATGTGTTTGACTGCTTTTTAGTCCGGACTTTAAGTTGCATATATTTTCAGAATAAAGGGAATGCCAGTAATATTTTAACAGCTTACAAATTGCAAAAAAAGATTTTTAAATTCAGATTAGAAGATCCAAAATTAATAATAAGCCTTCATTCTGGTGTTTAATGACTGATTTGTTCACGGAGAATGAGAAGAATTATGAGGGATTGTGCTGAATTTCATCAAATGTTTGTGTTATAAATGTGATCACCATGACTGATAGCAATCAGCCATACGGAAATTACTGAATGTTTATTGGGTGGAACAGGGCGTTGGGGTCAGCCTGATAACAAGTTCTGCCCCAAAGAAACTCTTTTAATCATGCTTAACTGACCCTTACAGACCCTGGTATACAGGGACTAGGTAGACTAAGGAAAAGAGACGGTTCATTTTCTCCACCACCCATAGTTGATTTAGTTTTGCCGCCAGAACCGAATTAAGGATTGTGCATTCAGAAATCCTTTCCGCACACCACTGTCGTACTGAGCTGCTTTCTTTGAACTTGTAGCCTTCCGGTTAGCTTTAATGAGTCTGGCTGTTCGCTTCTGATCTCTCTCATTAACACAGTATGTTTGTCCACAGAAATTCCATTGACTGGTTGTTTCTTTGTGTGTGGGACCATTCTCTGTGATCTCGAGACACCGTGGTGCGTGAATGTTCCCAGGAGTGTGGCTGCAATCACCTCTTATGGCAGCAGTAACACCACATTCAAAATCACTAAGATCAGGCACCTCAACTGGTCTAATGGGCAGACAGTCACCGACACAGTATTCGCTGTTTGGAGGAGAGGGAGTTTGTGTTATTGAGCTGGTTTACCTAATAAAGTGGCCACTCAGTGTGTGAATACAGAAACCCGCCCCGTCTTAAAGAAAGAGACAGATTATCTGTGCTGAGATGATGAGATAGAGAATGGAGAAGATTACCATTGAGTTGTAGTTCGTTCAGGCATTTATACAGACAGAGGCTGAAGATGTTCTGTTGTTTCTGGTAAGAGCTGCCCATTTGGTAGAACTACAATCGAATCCCTCAATCTCTACCTTGCGTTGCACACACACAGACTCCATTCCACAATTGTAGTCCTTCTTTGTTGTTTTTTTTACAATTAAAATGCTATTTTCTGTTCCAAAGTAACTGGGACCAAACCCTCTTGCAGCAGTGACCTCTGATTACCGCCACAGCACTCCACAGAATCCAGAGAACGTTCCCTGGGTTCAAATCGATGAAGCTCCATCCTGGGACTATGCTGAGTCGGGAAGGAGAGACATGCGGTTATTCCATAAAGCGAGTGCAACGTTGGCCTCATGAAATTAACCTGGCACTAGGAGAATGCTACTGTGCAAGTAATGGAGACAGAATCAGAAAAAGTCCGGAGGGGGAATTCTCCAGTGCCTTAATAGTCCGGCAGATTCCCTGTGGGGTTTCTCCAATGTGAAACTCTTGGCCATCATCCACAGTGTGGGAATCAATGCCACGAAATACCACTGCCACATGCCCTGCTATTTTTGCATTCCACTTTTGAGTATTTTTGATTATTTTCATTTCAATATTCTGTCAGCAATATGTCACTCATGTCAGCGAATTCCGCACCAGTGCGTTCTGGAAATGCCATCCACTTTTAGTCTAAAAGCACCTGGTGCAGTATGGGCTGGTGCTGACAAGGGTGCAGCAGAAAATCTGCCCTGAAACCAGTTCAGACTCCAGTCTTCTTCTGCACTTGTGCAGCTCTGGAGATGGGCACCATTGCCTCTGCCCTCCTGACAATGGGGAAAAAGAGAGCCAGCACCAGTACGAGAACCTGGCAGGTCCCACACCAGAGGTGGATAGTTCAGGTCCAGAAAGTAAAAATCTGGACCAAGATTTTGTTTCCACCAGCCAGCTGAAATCTTCCCTTTGTCAGGAGAGCAGAAGCAATGGTGTCCATCTCCATCTCCTGGAGCTGAACTGGTGTGGGACCTGCCAGGTTCTCGTACTGGTGCTGGCTCTCTCACGGGTGTTTCTCAATATGCGTACTTGACCGTACTTGTGTTCTCGCTTACCCGTTTTACGTCATCTTCCATTGCCAAAGACCAGTTCCAATACTAAGAACAGAAGTACAGAGGATGGTAAGAATCCACAGATGTCGTTCTTGCTCCACCCCAAATATCAAGGATGCATCGGTGACCAATCCCATGATTCATCGTGCCCCGAGTTCACTCTTGGGAGACAAGTTAGCAGGACCGTTCTTGCCAAGACCTCAAGTGTGATCAGTGCCTTCAGCAAGTCCTCTGACGTCATAGGCTGAGTCAGAGTTCTAGCAGTCAGTCACCAATCAGATGCGAGATGGTAAGCTAGAGGGGCTTATATCGCCCATCAGTCATCTCAAACATCCATGCATGTCTAACTGCTCTGGCCCGCAGTTTCAAATGTTTTATTTTTTTAATTAGTGCAAAGATCAGTGCTCGTTACTGAGAATTAAGTTTACCGTCTTCATTGCGTTTGGTAACCACCCCTATCCATGAATAGTCAGTGACACATTTAACATTTAAGAATTTTCTCAAAAAATTAATTTAATAGCTAAGATTTAACTGACCTTGGTATTTTTAGCAGCTCATTAATTCATTAACACTTATTAAATTGCTATGATTATTTAAATGTTACGAAAATGACTATGGGCAGAAAGATTATTATGATACACTCTAAATTATAACAAGCCGATCATACTCTTTATGTTACAGCCAACAGCCTTTGCTAAGTACCAATGCTCTTGTAACTGAGCAATTAGCTTGGTGTCCCGGGGAGAATACATCGGTGGCAAACACAAAATAGACGGGAAAGTGAACAAAGAGGAGATCTTTGGGGAAGAGGTAATCATTAGGCTTATTCAGCTTTGGCTGTGGTTGGGGGGATAGCATGTAGCTTTAAAACAGACCTCTTCCCGATAGCCTCTGAAAGCTAACGCTATGTATCATGCCCACATCTGCTGCATGCCAAGTAATTAAAGGATTAACTTACACCTCTCCCTCTTAATACTGCTCTGTAGATCATTTTCAGCATTTATACCGCTTTTTAAAAAGCTGCGACAGCTGCTATCTACCCTGGTTTTGGTCCTCATCGCATCCAGCTTCTTAGCCGCTATGCTACACGCTACGCTACGTCGAGATAACGAGATATGCTGCTCACAGAGGCGACTTCCCTGGAAGCCATGTTAACACGAGAGGTTAGTCCAACACCTCCTACTCATGACTGCAAAGCAGCAAAAGCTCTAGGCTACCAGTCACTCTCTTTATTTATTTGACTTCAGAGCAGGAGGCTAAGTTGAATCCCTTTTTATGTTGGACCTTAATAGTGTACGATTAAAGCCGCATGAACTATATTAAATCATTTCTCTTACAGTTTCGCAAGTGAACTTCAGTCCTCCATTGCACAATAACTACTTAAGTACTTTGGCAGTTTCACTATTCTACTGCCATCTGCAATAGCACAGTAATTTCCTACTCATATTCTGATTCATGCATGACTTTACAAAGACATTCATTCATCTAGGATTTAAAACGTAATACTATGGTTTCATCTCCAGTCTATTTAGAGAATATACCTCAGATTTGTCAAATTTTATGTTTGACTTCAAAAAATGTCTGCATACATCAGTGGTTAAGATGAGACTCATCAGATGGTTAAGATGAGACAGCTCATTTTCATTCTCAGAACAAGTCACCTGTCTTGTTTTATTAAGAAAACATTTCAAGCGTTCAAGCTACAGATTCCAAATAATGACGGGCATCTTCAAGGAGAGATACTGCAGAAATCTGCATGTTTAGAATACGAGTATAATTTTCCTATTATAACTTGTTTATTCATTACTGGGCAACATCATTTCAAGTCCGAAGCTCAATTTGGTACAATAAAAGGTTGTTTTTTTTTTCCTTAAAACCTTTGCTGGTTGCAGTCTTGTCACTGTGCGGAAAATTCTCTTTTTGCCTGTCCCCATATTACTCTCTATGAGACGCAGAGCCAGGTGAGAGCAAGCTTGGGGTGTCACAGTATAGGGACTGGGGTGCGGTACACCTGGAGGTGGGGGGGGGTAAGGGGCTTGCTTGAGGGACCACAGACATAGGATGACTTAGTCGAGGCTGGGGCTCGACCCAACAACCTTCTGAACCCAGGCTACAGAGGCTGAGCCTGCTGAGCTACACACCACCCCCGCAGGGTGTTGTTACAGCGGAGACGGTTTTGGAAGATGGTTAGTAGTCTGCCTTTGGATGGGCTGCAGCCATCCGTCTCCCCCCGAAACCGCCACAGTCCCCAGCTTGACGACAGCGGCCGCATCCCAGCGTTTCTGACAGTCCCCTAGTCTCGCCACCGCCCGCTTCTTATCCCTCGACTGAAGTGACTGGCTGTGTTTGCATACGGGGGCGGGCAGACACACGTCTCCACAAGTGTGCACACTCGTTACGGTGCCACCCGCTGGGCACTCTCCTTCTATCCGTGACAGCCGTTACCTGCTCCCGACGCCACGGGCCGTCAGGCGCCGTCAAATCCGATTGGCTGTGACCATGACAACGGGAGCGGCACTTGCTGACTTTTCGGCAGACGTCAGGAAGCTGGATCTTCCGGCCGAATGTGAATGGACGCGGAGCGATTGAGGATTCTGCTTCCCTGCTGGTACGCTTCACCGCTTCACACCGCCGGCGATGTGCTAACAAGTGCACATAAGCGGCTTCAGCTCTTCGCTATCCCACATGGACGATCCACATTTTACAGCGTATTTAGCCTCTCTTAAAGTCATCTGCTTTGCATTTTTTTTCTTCGAGTCAGCTCTTTAGTAACAAGTAGACCAGCTAATATTAATTAAAACATTTGCCTTTAATTATGAGAATGTGGCGTGAATGTTGTCGCTTTGACATCACACCTGCCAGCAAGCAGTAAATTAGATCATAATGTATTGTTTCTTGTTGAAAAATATTTAATTGTTTTTACGAGAGAGAGAGCGCGAGAGAGGGAAAGGATTGTAAGCATAATACGGATTCAGGAAGCACAGTTCTCCGATACCAGTGTCACTCAGGTTAAGACACAAACAAGTGTAATCTATCTGTGTTGTTTATCCCTGATGCCTCTAAAATGATGACAGACACCCAGTGACAGAAAGTCTGTCTTTTGCCACGTGGTATAACAGTGGCTACACAAACCACACACTTAGCATCCTCTGTATGCTCATTTGAGAGGTTCAACACAAGCTTGGCTGTCCCGTTTGCTTGAAAACAGTTCTTAGATTGATTATTAAGTCATCTGAGTGATTGCATGTGGTGTTACGGTCTTTAGAACAGTGCAAAAAGGTAACACAATGCTAATCGGGAAATGGAAACATACCCAAGATAGTCTGTATGTCACCAAGTAAACTGCGCCTGATTTCAGCTACTCTTTGCAAAAATATTCAAAACGCAAAGTGTAATTTAAATAAAAAATAATTAAGCTTCCAGACAATTTAGCTGGGCAGTTAATTACGATAAGTAATTCCGACGCAGTTGAAATCTAAAAATGATCTGTGCAATTGGATTGATATTGGATCTGAGTCAGAGCCTTCTGGAAAAGTCTAATGGCCTGCTAAGGTGACATATTAGTCAATCAGCCTCCACGGTGACAATGACAAAAGCGTGCGTCCGTGTTTAATTACACCGGAGTGGCGCGTTCGCACCTCCCCTTCAGCAAGCTGCAATTAAGCTGTCCGGCACGTTCCGCCAGACTCTGCTGCCAAGACTCCAATGTAATCCATGAATCTCATTTATTTAGATTCGTGGTCTGAAATGGGTCGTGCTCCAGCAAGCTACCGAAAAAAATGAAGGTAAGCAGATGAACAGAAAAGGGAAAATAGACACAGATTTATAGGATTGAAAACTGGCAAATGAATATGGCAGCGTGCTTTCTGGGCCAAAAAAGAAAGAGATTCACATTCTCACAAGCAGCTGAGCAACACAAATGTGTAATACGGTTGTTTTTTTTGTGTCTAGAACCACGCAAGATGGAGGTTCTACTCTAATGGCCAAGCACATGCCTGAGGCAATGGATGCAAGTGGTCCTGCGTGGAAACAGTTGCGCTCATCTCCTCACATATGGTGCACAATCCCACAATGCAATGCAGGATGGTGCCAACAAATAGAATGTCCTTAATTACCAGGCCCAACAAAAGCACCGTCAACAATGGCCGGTTGCTTGTTCCAATCACAGGAGTTGGCTACAGTGCGAGTTCATCCACAATACATCTCATTCAGCCTCTGACCTTGATTCTCAAAGAGCAAGGTTAGCTAATGGAGACACAAGGTCTTCCCCCAAGAATACGTAAATAACTCCTGCCGATTTCCGGTTATAATATTATTGCCGCCATCTTGTCAGTTTGCCCGTGACACGTAGAGTGTGCCTTTATGGGTCTCCAGGTAGCATGCATGTTTTTAATGACGAGTATATTACTTTTTGAGTTACTTCCATACATTTTGCCCTTATGGCCGCATGTCCGTTTCACAAATCTTCCAAAGCAGTTCCCGTTTTTGTGTGTTATCCTAAGGGTTGTAGTAGTCTTCTTTCCAAAACGCCGCGCTCACGCTCGTACGTGACGACCGAGTGCACCTTATAGGCACCAATTCATCAGGCCCCGTTGCCCCATTTAATAAGCTAAAGTCAAATTTAATTTATTTTACTTGTAAATCTTCCGGTAGAATTATGGCCCCTTAACAGCTTTGTGATGAACCTTCGTGTTTTACTACGTCATTTACTGCCAAGAATAAAACCCTTTCAACCTTTCCTAGCTGGCAAGCAGAGTGAAACCGGGATGCTTTCACTGCCTGACTACAAAGAAACATGAAAACCTCAAGTCTTAAACCTCACTTTAAGGTCATTAGGATCCCAAAGGTCATGGCTTCACCTCCCAATAAGGACATACAATGTCACCCTTCCCTCAACTGTAAGTTGCTTTGGATAAATACATCAGATAAAAGCGTAAATATTTAAATTAATCAGCAGCAATTTTTCTTTTTTAAAATTGACTATAAATTAATTTGATCCTTAATATATTATGCATATAATAAAACGTTATGGAAATGTAATAAAATTGTACATTAAACAACTGGTCGAAATAACAGTAAATAAAAACACAAACATTTAAAAAATGCAAAATATAAAAATTGAAAAATTAAAATTTGCATGCCTAAGTACATGTACTCAGTTAAAGAAACCAGATCCAAAACCAATTAAAATGAACCACAAAATATTATGAGTCCCCTCACTTGTTTATCTCTAAGTCCTCCTCCATCTTTCTGTTTCGAGAATAATCACCCTCCAGCCATGTTTCCAAGCGGTAAATGAGAGTTGGCTGTCAGCGATCACGCACGCCGCTGTATAACGAGGGGAAAGTCGCGGCGGATGGAGAGCTCTCCCCCGCTGTCTCTGCGCGTGGTGACCGTCAGGTGTAGCGCTTGTCATCTACGTGACAAACTGGCTGACACGTTTTCAGGTCCTGGACAGCCTGTCGCCTGTGGGTGTCAGTTCCCCCCCCCCCCCCCCACGTACACGCCACCTGATCATATCCTTGAAATGGATACTGATTCTACTGGTTGTTACAAACATTCATTATTCACATTCATATATTAAAGTTTCGAGCTTGTCGCTCATTGTAAGCTAGTGAAAGCCATGGGCGTTTGAAGATATTTAATGCTGAAGAATCTTATGTGGTCAGCAGGGCTGGTACATCTAGCAGCAGTAAAGTAAGCACTCGATGTTAAATTGCTGAATGGCATGCTGAAGTGCAAAAACTCCCCAAAGTTCCTCCCGTTGTCCAAAGACATACAGTTATAATTACTGTAGCTAAATGTGCGAGTGTGTGCCCTGTGATGGACTGGTATCCCATCCACGGTGCCCCCTGCCTTGTGCCCTGTGATGGACTGGTATCCCATCCACGGTGCCCCCTGCCTTGTGCCCTCTGATGGACTGGCATCCCATCCACAGTGTCCCCTGCCTTGTTCTCTGTGATGGACTGGCATCCCATCCACGGTGTCCCCTGCCTTGTGCCCTCTGATGGACTGGCATCCCATCCATGGTGTCCCCTGCCTTGTGCCCTGTGATGGACTGGCATCCCATCCACAGTGTCCCCTGCCTTGTGCCCTCTGATGGACTGGCATCCCATCCACAGTGTCCCCTGCCTTGTGCCCTCTGATGGACTGGCATCCCATCCGCGGTGTCCCCTGCCTTGTGCCCTCTGATGGACTGGCATCCCATCCACAGTGTCCCCTGCCTTGTGCCCAGTGATTCCTGAGATCCAGACTTGCTGTGACCCTTCGCTAAATATGTTGTTGTGTATGACACATTCTGTCATAAAATCAGGCCACCTACGGATTTAACAAATACAAATAGTTCCGAGGAAGTGAATGAAGGGGGACAGAATGCAGTACTGACATATTTGGGGATAAGAAGAAGTGGTTTTATTACTTAACCAGTAAGTCGGCACTTGGAGGGGAGACTCACCAAGGGCGCCTTCTTTTCACAGGGATTCTGTTCATTTATTTATTTCTTTGGTCCTCTGTTTCTTTATTGTTACCTTATGTTTTATATTTAGTGTCGCGATCTTATTAACTCGTGTTTGGTGTCCCAAAGTGATAATTCGGAATGTAGCCCCTCCCGGCACCCCCACGCCTGCAAAACCCGAGGATTCTCAGCCTCCTCTTCCTGCCTTCAAATGTTTTTTTTTCCAAGGTGAAGAGAAGAAAGCCACGCTGGTTTTCAAAGCCTGACTCCCCCCCATTTATCCATTTGTCTGTTTATCTCACGGGGAGAGTGTGAAATGATTAACATTTATGGTTTTTTCACATCTCACGCTTTGAGCTTTGAAGTCGGATTTGGCTGCTGGCTCATATTTATGGTCAGTCCCTATGCAGACTCCATCTGAAAGCAAAGAGATGAGACCCTTAGATAGCTGTGAAACTCTCCCGCTTTGTTTTATACTCTGTCTTTGTTAAGTTATCTTTAAGGCTGTGAGACTTTCACTTTAGTTCTGGCAGTGCTGTTAACAAAGAAGCCGGATAAACTGATCATAGACAGAGATTTTTTTTCAACAATGGCAGTGAAAAACTACCCCTTTCTATTCTCTTTGCCTCATGGTGTTTGCTTTTTAGGACGTCTAGTTATATACTGAATTTAGGAATTTATTCTTAAGAAATTTAAATAATAAACCTCTTAGTTATCTATACCAAAATCCAAACATTTCTCAAACTTATAGCTTAAATAATTCAGTGGTACCAAGTTGTGCCATAATCAGGGGTGTATATATGAGGGCGGAGCCACAGGGGCACTGGCTTCAGCTGGAAGCTGATTGGCTCTCTCCATTGTCACTCAACAATATAAAATATATCATTGGCTAATGTGTGTGTATGAATTATGTCCCCTATTATGCTGCCCATCTTTAAGAATCCTAGAATTGCCCCTGGACATAATTTGAGGTATATAACCAATGTAACTTTGATGGATGGCCTACCTAAACCATCATGGCCATTTCTGAGCTTACAATAACAAGGTATCTCCGGAGATTTGAGGCAGCAACCTTGAGGTCAAGGAGACGAGTCTTTCACTGCTGTCCCACTCACACTGTCTGCTTGCCTCTGTGGAAACAGAGATATCAAGTAATCTGGTCTCTCAACCGTTTCCCGTCCCTGCAAAGTGGAGCAGGCAGCTGGTGTGTGTTCCAGGCAGCCTGGTCTTCAGGATGTGTCCTAAACAGTCAGACAGAACTCTGCTGCCGGTTTCCAGGCCTGGAGCATTTGGGGAAGGAACAGTCCGACAGATCTATGTGAACATAGAGAAGGAAAGACCTGAATCCACAAAGGAAATGAAATCCTTAAATCCTTCTGGTTTTCAGCAGAATGATCTTGAATGTTCATGGGAAATAAATTCACACAAAGGATCAAAACACGATCTGATGATGATAGATAACAATAATGCCTGTCACATTTATAAGATTAATATTGTAATATCTGTAAACCTTTGGCTGAATAATTAGATGCTTATGAATGCATACAGAAATGAATCTATCTATCTATCTATCATCTGTCTGTCTATCTATCTAATCACTGGATGTCTTTTTCAGCTGATGCCTTTACATGAGGCATTCAGTGTCACTGACCGGAATTACAAGCCTCCCTCCAGTGACACGGCAAAGCCAATTTGTCCCATTATCACCAGTACACCAGGTTAGGGGGTTAGGGTGCCGTGTCCAAAGCAGCCCTATTAGCAATTACAAACATCTCAGGACCCACAACGGGGGCTCAGATGCAGAGCGGAGCACGGGCACCAAGCTGCCAGTGCGGAGGCCATGCTGCTCGCGTGAAGAGCTGTCTAATGCAATGTTCTCCAGGGGATTGGAGGTGGATGAGAAGGTGGGACTGGGCCTCCTCATTCGTATGGAGCTGCCGCTGCCTCCGGACGATGATGGACCGGAAGGCCCCGTTATTGACCTGTCCCGGGTGGTGCGTGTTTTTGGGAAAAGCAGGAGCAGAGAGGACTGGTTTTACGGGCGTAAGCTAGTGTGGAATGACGAAGGGGGCTGTGTTTCCGTGGGGGGGGGTTGCTCGCTGAAGAATTGATGGCAGTGTCACCACACAATGCCAGGCAGTCCATAAAACACGCGCCCTCCGCAGGTCAAGGAGAAAGAGCTGATGGGCACACTGAATGCAGACCCAGAGGGTGGGGTGGGGTAGGGTGGGGGGGGGGGGGGTGCCAAAGTCGAATTGCTCGACTCGTGGAAAGAAAAAAAAATCCAAATGTCTGCATGCTGCTTCGTATTGCCGGGATGCCATGATTCTGTGGATTTGGCCAGACGTGGATGTCAATAGTGACCCGAGAGCATCGCGCGCAAGACTAAGAAGGCGACCGTCACTGATTGGCCGACCGTTTGCTGCAGAAGCTGGTGAACGTGCTGTGTCACGAATCTCATCTTGTGCCCCTTTTTTAAGGCATACATGCACTACAGGGGTGAGAGTCAGGCTGGCCTTTAAGGGCCAATGCTCTAGGGCCCAGCAGATACGCCAAGCATTGGATTTGAACCACTGAGATACCGATCACAGCCCCCTGAGCCACACGTCAACCTCAGCATATGCTTAATGATTTTTAATTATTCCGACGTGACCAACTTTACTCCTCGATTTTACATTCCAGTTTACAAAAACTAAATAAATCAAAGACTACATTTTGAAAAGAACAGAACCATTACATTGCAGCATGACACTGAATAAAAGCAGCTTGTTAACACGTTTCTTAAACAGCATGGTATCGGAGTTATTCCTGGTAAATACATCACAAAATCGGGCTCCCTTTAAAAATCCGAGGAATAAAGAGGAGACATAGAGAATAGAATGTCAAGGACGAAACTCTGAGATGCATTTGCAACTCTTATCTGAGCTGATAAGTTCAAAGAAGGTCTCTGTTTAACATACAGGCCATTGGTTAAAAGGATTGATTGAACTGTCACAGTATGTGATCAGGTGGGCAGCTGTATTCTGTAGGGCATAATCAGGGCCATTTCAGAATATTGACCTGGACGGCAAAAATGACACTACGTATGAGGTTTTACAGTAACTTAAACAACTGGGATTCAGGTTCTTTGTTTCTTTTGACTTATTTGTAGGTGTTTATGTACATTTTTAAGTATTGGGGGGAAAACCTGAAAAAAAATTCCAAACTCATTTGAGCAAACATTTAACTAATGTGTTTGTGGCTGTTGCCCGTGTCAACTAATTAACTATTTAGGCTTCAGGGTTGCGGCATTTCCTTCACTTTCCATGCATCGCAGAATGCATCAGCCCAGCAGTGGTTGTCAGTCAACACTAGTTCCTGAAATCTCATCAATATTGCATGTTATAATTGTGTTTAAAAATGATTTATGTAAGCAATTTGCAATCACTTACCGTGAATACTTTTTTCATTCTGTGGCAGATTCGGGACACGTTTTGAATACTCTGTCGATAACGTTCTCAGTGGCCTTTTGAAATTAATGCACTGTTAATCCAAATATCTCCCTGAGAAATGGATCTCGGGAGAATTCTCTGTTCCATCTCACGGAGGCATAAGGCATGTAAAGCTGACGGTCCCTGGTCGTATCTCCATTCATGTCATCCAGTGGCCCTGAAGCTCAGCGCCCCAAACAGCCTGGAGCAGCAGACGACGCCCAGATATTTACTGTGGGGCCTGAACCTTCCTGGTCGGACAGGAATCATGCTAACGGAG